CTGTAATACTAGACCTGTACTGTAATACTAGACCTGTACAGTAATACTAGACCAGTACTGTAGTACTAGACCTGTACAGTAATATTAGACCCGTATTGTAATACCAAACCTGTACTGTAATACTAGACCCGTACTGTAATACTAGACCCGTACTGTAATACTAGACCAGTACTGTAATACTAGACCTGTACTGTAATACTAGAATCATACTGTAATACTAGACCTGTACTGTTATACTAGATCAGTACTGTAATACTAGATGCGTACTATTATACTAGACCAGTACTGTAATACTAGACCTGTACTGTAATACTAGAATCATACTGTAATACTAGACCTGTACTGTTATACTAGATCAGTACTGTAATACTAGATGCGTACTATTATACTAGACCAGTACTGTAATACTAGACCTGTACTGTTATACTAGACCAGTACTGTAATACTAGATNGTACTGTTATACTAGACCAGTACTGTAATACTAGATGCGTACTATTATACTAGACCAGTACTGTAATACTAGACCAGTACTGTTATACTAGACCCATAGGGTTATACTAGACCTGTACTGTAATACTAGACCTGTACTATAATACTAGACCTGTACTATAATACTAAAGCTCAGTGCCACAATCTGAAGTTTTAATTGTTCTTTATTATTCATATACGTATCTGTGATTACTGATGCACATAAACACAGCACAATGATCTCCATGATTCATCTTAACACTCGTTCAGGTCACACATCGGCACCAGATGCCCCCAAACTAGACCACAATGCTTTGCACAAAGCAAAGACGGCGGTATGTGCCACATGGTCCATGATGGGAACATGTTTTGGCAAAGAACTGAACAGCTGTATGAATCCTGTCAGAAGAAAACTGGAAGAGCAGTTGACTGGTTTAGGTCACAAACAGTTGATGGGTGCATAAATGACTGATAAAGTGAAATGTATCTAAATGAGCTTGAACACTTTTATCTTCTCTCACACCTAGATGCATCTACAGAGACTGAACAGTACAAATCTCATGGGATCTGGCAGGAAGATGTTTCCATGTTGACTTACTGGTTCTGTACTTGGGCTGACATGTTATCTGGAGACCAGAAACTTCTAAGGTGCAATGATCAGTCAGGAGAGCTTGCCAAGGAATGGTCACTGTTATGCTGCTCACAAAGCCCTCCACTATCTCCAGGGGAGCCCCAATAGACTCCAAAAGCTCGTTGACCGCCTGTAAAGTTCATAAAAGAAGCAATCAGTTATGACTGAAGAGACACAAAAAGGGGAAAAGACATGAAAATAACTGGTTTTATGTTTGTCACAATATAAGCGGCTGTAGACAAATAAAATTAATAAATATTATATTATAACCACAATATAATCAAAATATTTTAACCAGCACCATGCCCAAAAATCACAATGTTTACACACCTGCTGCTGCACAATCATTAGTACTGTTACTATTCATTGTAATTATTCAACTGTACAATCATTTGCACTACTACTCTGCTGTAATTGCACATCTGTGTTTCTTGTCTACATTGTGATACTTCACTTTACAGTGATTGGTCTGTTGAGATCGTTTTGCACTGAAAACAGGCAATTTCTGATTCCTAATGTCAGATTCTGATAGTCTACTGTCTCTAAAACAAAACATATCATTTTCTATTCTTGCACAATTCTTGTAGTTGTATGGCTAGTCAGTGTTAATTCTTGTTTTGTGTGTACTATCTATAGTTTGTAAAGTAACTTGTGTGTGAAACTGTACTGATGCTGCTTTGACACCTGAATTTCCCCTCGGCGGTACAATAAACTCTATTCTATTCTATTCTATTCTATTCTATTCTATTCTATTCTATTCTATAAATAGTTCACTCTGCAGATTGGAAATGAATGCCTCAGACATTAAAAGATAAGACTGCTAGTAGAGGAGGGGGACGTGTTTATTTCCTCGAAGAAATGCGAGCCAGGCTGAAAACATGACGCTGGAGATTGTTGTTGAACTCGAGAGCAGTTGCGAAACAGTCAAGTGTCCTGGAACCCCACAAGAACACAAGACTGACCGCGGCTAGGAGTTGATAGCCAACAGTCTCTTTTGCCACAAACTCACCCACACGTCGAGGTTGATGTCCTTGATGACCCCGTTGCCGTTGTACAAGTCCAAGCCCAGCTGGTCCAGGCTCAGTCGCTCCTGCAAAAAGTGACCCAGGTAGTGCTGCAAGAGGTACCGACAGGCCCGCTTCTTGATGGAGCCTGACCAGGGGAAAAGCCACCGAGACATAGGGCCAGAGAGAGCGGGGAGAGGGAGCGGAGAGGAGGCTGAGGAGAACGAGTGCGATGACAGCCCTCTGGTAACGGCATAACAGACTAGAACAAAGTGTGCAAAAACTAGGAATGAGCCACAGCTAGCTAAACGGCTAAGGAAGAGGTAAACCCGTAACTGTAGTTCTCCCCTTTTGGCTGGACACAAAGACTACAAAACCCTTCGTGTCAGGACCGAAAAGACCCCTGCGCTAAGTGAGAAAGGCTTACTCCAACCGAATGTAGCTTTCTCGCTTCATGCTTTTGTTTCGTTTCTGTCGAATACGAGCGACAAGTCCTGTTGGTGCGTACCTCTTGTTCGGGGTTGTTTATTGTTATCATACGCCAACTACTGGTATGAGTGTGCGTGCGCCTTGCGTCACAGTGACGACGGCAAAACCCGGAAGCGGGGCCAACAAAATAAAAGCAATCTGATAAATGTAATAGAACTAGATTATTCATTATTTCCAGAGAATCGCTCTTAAAATATTCAGTAGTTCAAATGTTCTGATGCATCTCAGTAATCCAAGTAGAAAAATCAAAAAGAAAAAAAAAAAAAAAAAAAAAACAAGTAGGTCCTCCGAACGGGTTCTACTTTAATGAAACTTTCAGCTCTCCTCCAAGAGACCAGTCTGCAGGTGAACTCATCCACCTCCACATTGTGGACAGATTGGTCACATGCAAACATCAGCCAAACAATAGGTCGTTAGTGCCTTGATTGGCTCTATTGTTCATCACCTGACTATCATTGGGGCCCTGATTCAAACATTTTCAAGTTTTTTTTTTTCAAACAAGTATAAAAACAAAAAATAATGTAGCAAGTTCTTATTTGAAAGGAAATGGGAGGAAGTACAAACTTGTTTAATCCCACTTTTTTCAGAAGTCAGAGGTTTCATTTTCTTTAAAAATTCCAAGATTAATATTTGTGTATAAAAATGTGATGCATGAAAAGCAGGAAGTTTGCGTAGATGTATATATAAATTGCCAATAATTTGTGGATAATTTCTTGTCATTATCAAATTATTTAATAGCTAAAACAGTCATTGATTTAATATAAATTTGCATTTCAATCTGTTCATTTTTTTTAACCACAAGCATGAAATGCACATGCAAATTAAATCAGTTTTATACCTTTTAATGTAGAATTGACATCCCGAAAATATAATAAAATGTTTAGTAGGTCACCTCTGCTTTCAACCAGATCTTAGATTTACTTTAAATTGCAGTTTGTTCTTCTTGATGCACATTTTCCTGCCGAGCAATAACAGTGATATTCCAAATTGCATTTGTAGTCCCCACAAGGACATTTTATTTTTTCTTTCATATTTTTTAGACTGAAGTGACATGTATCCATTTCCCAAAATATAATTTTATTGTTCAACATATAACAACAAATCCAGATTAATAACTTTAAACCATTTGTCAAATGCATTTATTCTTAACATATTGACTAGTGTCTATACAAAAGGAGGCAATATGTGATGGTACAATGACACAAACAGTATCAGTCCTCAGGTCAAAAAAAAAATGCAATGTAGCTGTTAAAACAACAATTAACACAAGTCAACTTTACCTAATTTTGTAAATAGAAAAATAAGGGCTAGAATACAAGAAAACTTGAGCTATAAATAAAAAAAGAAAGAGCTGGTTCTATTTCACAGGAATTTTACAGAATTCTTCATTTTATGAAGGCCACATCTGGGATCTTGCCTTCTGCCTGTAGAGAGAAAAACAACGGGCCTTGGCTTAATAATGGTTTTTATGTGATGACAAACATGTAGAGAAAAAGATGATCATCACCTTTAACTGTGTGAAAATCTGTGCTGCTCGGTTGAAATCCCACTCATTATCCTGCAGACACCTGTGACAGACAGAGTTGAAATAAATCAGCTGCATGCTTGTTTAAATATTAAACATTTTAAATCTGTTAAAATATATTATAAAAGCCATACTTTTGTGACCATTCCAGGTTCATGCCAGACTTCAGAGAGAAGGCTGTGAGCATCTCTTGCTGTGGCGCTGTGAGGGTTGGGACGGGGCTGGAAGATGGAGTTGGTGCTGGAGCCACAAAGGCCCGGCGGATCTCCTCTGTTGTAGCCATTCGGATGAAAAGCTGATCGTTGACGATGCATAAACTGTGAGGGCAGAAAATAGGCAGATGTTACAGATTAAAAATGTTCTGCCTTGGCAGGCATAGTTGGACTTTCCCCAAACTATTCATTTGTCGTATTTGTCGCCGCCTAAGTCTATCTAAAAGCTTCTTACACTCACCCAGAACTCCCTGCTGGGACTGTGATGAAAACCCGAGAGAAGGCCATGGTGGACTCTCTGGATTTTCCATCAACAACAACTGAAAGACAAATGAGACAAAACAAAAATCATCATCCCTTTTATCCCCGACAGAAAAAACTAAATGTTTATGACGACCATAAAACTCACCCTCTTTAAAGACTCCACTCACTGTGAACGATAGTAGTGTGTTCTGGGAAAAGAAAAAAAAATTGCAGTTAGAACAGGACAAGGGAGGAAAAACGTAATTGTAAGCAGTGCACTATTAAATAAGCATCTACTCACTGTGTAGGTGTTCACATCTACTGTAAAGGAAGCAATGTCATGCTGTGTTTTTGGAAGCTCGTTGATGAATGCCACAACGTTCAGTCGAGTGTGTTTGAGCAACCGAAACCTCATCGCTAAAGGAAAATAAAAACCAAAAACACACCATTAGGCACCTAAAACAAAACTATTTTCCAAATACAACTTGTGAAGAAGAACTCACTAGAGTCTTTGATCCTCTTTAGATTTCGACTGTCTTTACAATACTCCCCCAGACTGCTCCTAAACACCACAGTACAAACAAAATGATTATGTAAATGCTGCTAAAACACAGTTTGTGGTAAATTATTATAAGTGTGTGTTTATGTTTTTACCTGGAAGGGTTCTGTGTGGAGTAAGGTGTAGTGATAGATAAAGAAGCACCATCATGATAAGCATCCAGAAGTGGCTGTCTGTCCCCCGAGTCATATATACTGTAGTACCTGCAACAGTCACATGTTAGTGCTACTATATACACTGCTGAGTTCTCTGTCCCATGTACAGTTAAGTCCATATCTATTTGGACCCGACACAAAGTTTTTTTTAACCTGTTTACTAAAAACATTGAAGTTATAGTTATATAATGGACAGGGACGTAAAGTCCAGAATTTCAGCTTTCATTTCAGGGTATCCACATTAAAATTGGATGAAGGGTTTAGGAGTTCAGCTTCTTAACATGTGACCACTCTGCCTTTAAATGGACACAATTGGACAATTGACTCGAAGGTTATTTCATGAGCAATTTCTTCTTTAAAGGCAAATAAAGCTAAAGCAAACCAGGAGTTTATTAAAGCAAAGAAGTGGAATATTCATGAATGGTCAAGTCAGTCACTTGATCTCAACCTAACTGAGCATTTCACTTGTTAAAGACTAAACTTCAGAAAGAAAGACCCACTGTTATGGACTAATTATCTATCTGTTTCACCTTGAAGCTGTCCAGTATTCATATATCTCATGTTCAATGTTAATCTGTGTTGGCCCAGACGTCAGGACTCCGCAACGGACTGAACTCTCTTGTTTGATAAGAAACTCTTTGAGCTGAGAGCCCTGTGATAGGACAGTACATTAGTCGATCTGTGATTGGTTATAAGCACGTCATATGATGTTATCATGGTGTATATTATTGGCTGCTTTCCGTTGACATGTCAGCGACAAACCGACAGAGCTTCCTGATTGAGTCYTGTTTGTTTGTCGCTCAGAATTAAATCATTATTTACGACCATACACGCAGACTTTCTGTGCATTATTCAAACGTGTTTCTGCATTCTTGGTAAAACATGCGACGACACCCACAAACAGCAATTGAAACCTGCTGCAGTAAAAGCCTGGAAGCTTTAAAAAGGAGGAAACAGCATCTGGTGACGTCCGTGAGTTCAAGACTTTCAGGCAGTCATCGCCAACAAAGGGTTTTCAACCAAGTATTAGAAATGAACATTTTATTTACAATTTTTTAATCTGTCCAATTACTTTTGAGCCTCTGAAATGAAGGGATTGTGTTTAAAAGATGCTTTAGTTCCTCACATTTCTAAGCAATCATTTTGTTCAACCCACTGAATTAAAGCTGAAAGTCTGAACTGCAACTGTATCTGAATTGTTTTGTTCAAAATCAGTTGTGGTAATGTGCAGAACCCAAATTAGGAAAATGTCTCTGTCCAAATACATATGGAGCTAACTAAAGTTTATAGAACATTTTAAAACTTACTGCTGCAAAAAGCGAAGGATGAGCGCCTTGATTTCATCTGAGCCAAAGTAGCTCCCCTGAATGAGAAAGCAAAAACAAATATAAAACAAACTTCAGATGCAACAAATAGAGATTATTCAAAAACGAGGACTGAGGAATATGTTGCAATTGGTCAATTGACCTAAACACACTTTCAGATTCCTGCTTTTTAAGCTACATTTTGATACCAGGATCATCCTGATCCACAGATTTGTCTTCTTAATCCTATTTTAGGTTATTCTAATGAATTTTTATGTCAATTTAAAGAAGAAACCTTAAACAATATTTATATATTAACCTTTTTTTAATTAAGCAAATTCCACACAAGGGAGGCCTGAAGACAACCTACTGTAAATGTTTTTGGTCTGTGGGAAAAGCCTGAGTACCTGGAGAAAACCCTTGCAAGCACAAGGAGAATATGTAAACTCCACACAAAAAGACCCAAGGTCTAAACCCAAGACCTTCTTGTTGTGAGCCCTCAGTGCTAACCACTGTACCATTGTGCTGCCACAGCAACCCAATATTTGGATGCTAACATTTACCAGCTGCAGGGAAAATTACAAATATTTAAGGGTTTTCTGCTCAAAATCATGTTTTTTGTAACTACAGCTCAAAAACAAAATATTATAATCCAGATTTTTCATTAAAATAACCTGTAAATAAGGCATTTATTCACTATATTTTGAAAAAAATGCAATTGTTGCAAACATTTTAACCAATGCACTATAGCTCTCTATTTCTCCACACCACTTTAATCCTCAGTTCGAAGTGATGGGTCACATATTACATGTAATACTGTAAACTTGATTGCATCATTTTGAGTAAAACTACACAAAATTAAATGAGCCAACCTTGGCGGGAGGGATTGTAGTTGGTGTTTCAACATCAAACCCAATCGGTGGAGGAAGATCATTACCATCCTGACAAGAAATGACAAAGGTGAGAAGATCTGCATGATAGGTCTGTTAGACTGTAATCAAGTGCTTTAAAACTTTAGCTCTACATACCAGTTTGAGAAGCCGGGGAAACCTCTCCCGCACAGCACTGGTACACAAGAACAAAACCAAGAAAGTTATCATCCCAAACCACCAGTAAATAAATAAAACACCAATGAATAAACAAACACTCGCTACTAAAGATACCACTGCCAGTAACACCTGCTGATTTACCATTGTCTTTTCAATTTACTACGTTTTGGGGGAATACATTTATGTATTGATACACAAACCTTTCAGCTAGTGCCACAAGGTATTTTATCTTTTATCAAATTACATGTGAATCCACAAACTAACATACATGCCATAATCCTCCTTTCAGTTTCAAGCTGTGCCTTCTCAGTTCTCCCACCCCAAAGTGTACTTACCAGCAGGTATACTCACGCTCTCCCCACAACATGGTGATACACACAGATCTGACACGGGAGAGCAACACAAGCACACTTTTCTAGGAGTACACACATACAAACATGCCACCAGCTGCCAGACTGTGCTGGAAACCAGAGTGCACATCCACTTTGAATTAGTAAAATAAAGAGGTTATATGCATGGCTGGGAGAGAGGTGGTTACCGCCAGAGATGTGTTAATTTCCCCCTCAACCCAAACTCTGGCCAAGATGTTTGGGAACAGATGTCACCGATAAATACAAAACAAGGCCTTGGTAACAAAGCAAGATTTAGAGACAAATGGCCAACATTCAGAGTCACTATCTATTGATCGTGCAAGATGTTTTGTCCAGGTCTGCACCTTTAATTAACAGCAAAGAAAGAGGATCAGAACAGGGATGGAAAAAGGACAGCAGGTTTCAAAGTGAGCTGGACCCAGCAGTCCTGCCGATCATCATGTTTTTCCCTATTTTGAAAAACAGATGGTTTATATGAAGAGATGGCACAGCTCTTTGTGTACCTGGATTTGCTTTAGGCTCTTATCTACATTATTATTATTATTAATATTGTTTTTGTTATTATTATTATTAATATTGTTTTTGTTATTATTATTAGAGTTTTTGTTGTTGATTTTGACCCAAGCCTGTGTTACAAAATGGCTTGGAGAATATTAAGAACTTTACTGTAGAGACAACACTCAGATCTCTCTGTTTATTGTGGAGTTTTTTTTCCTTTATTTCCTTCTGTAGTGATCACGGTCTTTGGAAACTGGAGGAGGAAGCTTTTTCCTTGTTTGCTTCCATTCAGCACTTTTTGTTTTAACTGAACTTTTACTTTCCAGTTCAGGACACATTCCTTTCTGATGTATTTGACAAGTTTTTTGCCAACATCTCCATTCATTGAAAAGCAGAGGCCTCCTGCAGATGGACAGATTAACCACAGCGGAAGAGACCATTTGTTTGTTTTTCTCCTCTGCCTCGTCTTTGCCCCTGTTGTTGATAAAATAAGCCGCTCCTCCTCAGCCCAACAGCTTTGCCTGTGTAGTCCCGTACTTCCAGCTGCTTGCCTTGCTTTCAGTGAGTCCGAGCTCACAGGGACCAAGGCCGAGTAATCGTGACTGTGCCTGCCTTAGGTTGTCCCGAGGTTTGGAGGTGGGATCTTACCCGTCATGGGCTATCCAGCCTTCCATACTCGCCTGCTACAGGAGCCGAGTGGGCACTGATTCCATGAGGGGAGGGAGTGGAGGAATCAATGGCTGTGCGTCATCTTTGACTCATCCAAACATTTCTCAGGATGATCAAGAATTTTCCTTCACGACAGCACATATATGATTATTCAGTGCTGTTAAAAGGATAATTTCACCATTTCGGTCGCTCTTCACAGTACATTTTATCAGAGAGTCATGCTCAGATACTGTTATATTTAACATTAGGAAATCTAGGCTGTTTTTAAAGCAGTTCAAGACATGAATGTCAGCAGGGGAGTGCTGGGTAGAGCATCACTAAGAACCGTAAAACCCAGAACAAAGCAAAAAATAAATAAGAATTAAAAAGAAAAAAGGTGCTCCACAGAGAAGCTAAAAACTGGCAGGGAGAAGATTAAATTAAAGAGAAGTTTAATCAAACTGAAAAGGAAACAACATTAAATTAATCTGATGTTTCATGTCCTCTCAGAAAATATGTTAAGTTTGCAGCGTGAAAAGAAAATGTTAATTATCAAGTAGGAAGAAAAGCAATAAACAAAAAAACTTTACTGTATAAATAAATTAAATGGGACATGCATGTCGGTACGTGTGTGGGTTACAGAAAGTACATAAACTTGATGCTGGTAAATCTTTACGAATTTAAAAATGTATATATTTAATTTGACATTTCCTTTACTTTGGACACTAAAAGATGCGAGCGGGGTTGTTTAGGAGATAAGAAGTACACAGAAGGTTATCTAAGTAAAACAACTTATTATATAGTTTTGTTTTTCAGCAAATCAAAACCAGAAAAACTGTTCTGTTAACGTCAGATATGCTCAATTCAAAAGTTCATTCTTCTCAGAAAATGCATCCAGTAATAAAGCCATTTAAACATTACTTTAAAATGGCTCACTGATGCAACCTCTTTCTCTACAGGTGAACTGACACCCTCAGACACAACACTTATTGCTCTCTGTTAAAAAGGTTTCTTCTCAACTCCCACAATTGCTGACTGACCTGATGTACGCAGCCTGGTCCTTAAAGAGATCACACAGAGGGTTCCTGTTCAGCCACAGCTCCACCAGCTTCAGGTCTTTCACTTTCTCCAGCTCCCGGTCTGTCTTCAGCTAAAGGTTGGTGTGAGTGGAAGTAATATTATTAAAACAATCATGGTAATGATGGAAATTCATTATTCTGCAACTGAAGCAGCTAGTCTTACCTCATTGTGCGACAGGTTGAGGGCCTTGAGATTGGGTGCTTTGTTAACCAAACCAGCGAGGTCGTCCAGTTTGTGAATACGGTTGTTACTCAGATTCAAACACGTCAGCTGAAAGGTGAGAGAAAACTGGTGAGCAAAGTTAAATGGCTGCACTACATTCTCAGCACAAGAAATTATAATAAATCTCTGCTTCTATGAGAAGAAACCAAACTGACCACTAATATTTATATATTTTTTTTTACCTCAGGTATGTTTTCTTCAATGATCTTAAGGACAGCTTCCATGTTTGTCTTCCTGTTCAAGATGACTTCAATGTTCTGGGACACCAAGTCTGTCAAAAAATTGGAATTATAAACAAGAATATGCAAGTATAAAAAAAACTACATAAGATAAAGGACAAGTTAAAAGGCGTGCGGAAGATGGACCGAGTTATATCCAGAAAAACACAATAACTTTCAACTGAGAGCTTTATAAATAAATAAATAAATAAATAAATAAATAAATAAATAAATAAATAAATAAATGTATCCTATATGTTTGTGTTACGTACCTGGGTCCATTCGAATGTTGTTCAAGTCCAATGCTTGCTGGGAGCCATCGAAACGTTTTGCCATGCATTGCTGTTCAGAATAAACAACCAATTCAAGATGTGTTATTAAAATGTTTAACATGTTGACTGTTCCTCATCATGAAAAGCTCAAACATGCTCGACTTAAACCTTTGTCTTAATTAGCAGAAGCCTGATAAAATGTAAACCACATTTTAGTGAGTCTTCAAGAAGTTTTTCAAAATCAAAGCACTGTCAGAAAGATGATCAGAAACTCACTTTCAGATGTTCTAAGTGTTGGGGCTTCAGGTCAGACTGGAGGAAGGCTGGCGGATTACTTGGGTTAACGTGTACTTCCACCTTAAAAAACAACAGATTAAAAAACAATAATTACAGACATACTGTTGAGTTTTTAAAGGGGCTATATCATGTAAAATCAACTTTGAGTTTTATATTATGTTATGATGTTATCCTCTCATCAAAAACATGCTTTAAGCCTTGCTTTGACTCATTCATACAGGTCTGAGAAATCCTGTAGTGTCCTGAGGCAGCAGGCAGGGGAGCAAAAACAACAGGTTGGGACTTGAAATGCCTTTTTGGGACCATCTCTGCCTCTGGGCTGTGTCTCCAAGCTGAGCTTCCTCATCACGGAGCACACCTCCCCACCCCACACACCCCACCCATGACTCCTGCTGGCTCTAGGCAGTAACAAAGCAAACAACGGGTGAAACTGAAAGTGAAAGTGAAACTGTCTCCTGAGCTCCTAACGACTTCTCACTCAATGAAGCTCTTTTCAGATTCAAAGTACCTTTGAGGAAATGTATTTTCAGATGCCAAGTAAATTGCATCATAGCACGCGCGAATGTCAAAAAAAATGTGGCAGATTTTGTGCTGCAAGTGATGTTTTCTAGCAACACCTAAGAAGACTAATAGTCATTAAGTCAACACACCTTATATCCATCTGAGTCTGTGATCTTGTGCGAACATTTCAGTAAAGCATTGGCAGCAGCAGAATCCTCCACGTAGAAATGAACTCTGCTGTGGTCACTGTGATACTGGAGACAGAAAGGTTGATAAAATGTCAATTAGATGTAAAATACGAAGTAGGGGTGCACGATAGTTATTAGCTCAATACCAGGGAATTATGACGTCATACTTATTGGTCCGATATAACAAACAGAACCGATAATATACAGTATGTACATGTTTACCAGCACTGCTTTATTTTTATCCGTTTTGGTCAAGCCGCTTCCCGTTCGACACGACCCGAGCAACGTTCGAGTTGCGTCGGAATAAACAACTTTCTCACTAGAACAAAAATTAGAATACTGTGCTGAAAAACATTTTAAGAATTATTTATATTATTTTACCAATTAACCCAGTATGTTACATACAAACTTTATAATTATAAACATCAGAACAACTACTCCCACTTTGAGAACATGTGATGTCCGTTACCTCCTGAACGCAGCACAAAGTCCGTCTGCTAAAATGCTAACAACAACAAGCTAGCGTTCAAGAACTCATCGGGACTTAAATCATTGTCGAGGCTTTGGACAAATCAAAAATAATTGCCAGAGATGACGCAGATCTCAAGCACTTTAATGATGGAGCTTGACAAGCAGCCTTTCACCCTCCCTAAAGACCGAAGCTTTTATCTCCTTGTTAGACACAGTTTACCAGCCGAGCTGCTACTCTCTTGTGTGTCTTCCTGTAAGTATGATGCTGTCTTAATCCAGTCACACTCTCAGAAGCACTGTTTCCAGTAGAAAAATGTTTTAAATCATATATTAATAATAAGAAAAACAAATGTAATTTGAATCTAACTTGTGTTAGTGCTTTATCTATTTTGAACTTGTGGAATGACTTTTTTTCCTCTTTTGTTTAAATCTGAGATCAGTGTTAAAGGTCTTTTTATAATTAATGTGCCTTATTTAAAAAGATGGCCATTTGAGAAATTGATTTGTTTGATATACTTTAAGAAACGTTTGTTTGCTAAGAGTTTATTTCAAATACTACAATTTACAGTGTCATTTAGTTTTGGTCTTGTTTATTTGTTACGATCTTAACCAATTTTGACTAGTCTTATCTCCTGGCATGTTATCGGTTATTATCGGTTATCGGCCATTAGAAGGAGAAAATTATCCGTTATCAGTAACTTAAAATAAGTTATCGTGCATCCCTAATACAAATGTATCTAAACAGAAAACGGTGCCACAAATTATTTGAATATTACAAAACAATCATGATTCTAAACTGTATTAACCCCAGAAATGAAACAGAATCACGACAAACAGCTTACACCTACTTGTATAGGTGAGTAAGGAACTGCACAGATGTTCTGAAGAGCTGTCACCAACCATTTCTTATCGTATTTTCTTCCATGTGGTATCTGTCCAACAGAAAACAAAAACATTTAAATCATCTCCAACAAAGTTAAGATCTGCTACAATCACAGAGTCAGTGAAATATTACACACCGTTACTTTGAACCAGTTGGATTGGGACTTCAGACCACCTCCACCCCGGTCTCCTCTGGTTCCTCCTCCACCTCCCCCTCCTCTACCACCTCCTCCTTTGCCCTGTCGCTTGTCTCTGTCAAACCGCCCATCTCCTCTCCAAGGTCTTCCATATGGGTTGCTAAGAACAAAAAGACAACCAAGCCAAATTTTCAAGGTTAACCACTTGATTTTAAAAACGTACAAATACAGGGATTTAGTTTCATTCATATTACTTTAAAATCCTTCGTTTGACAAACTTTTAATTATTTTTAAAAAGTGTAGGCATTTTGTGAAAGAATCTTCACTTTACACAATATATTTAACAATAAAGTAAAGAAAAAACAGCCACATTAACAATATTTAGAACTTAAAGGAGACCAATTATGGGTCCTAGAAATGTTTATGGTATGTCTGTGGGCTATCCAGACCATGTTCATTCAATTTAATGCACAAAATAATTCTCAGATAATAAAATTTCCCATTTTCTAGTTCTGCCTGCTCTGACTTCYGTTCAGAAGAGCTGTTTATGTTAATGAGCTCTGTTGGTAACGCCCTCCAAAAATCTGTTGACATTAACTCCGCCCTCCAAAGCCAGCGTTTACGTTAGCATGGCTAATAATAGCAGAAGCTCCGTTGTACAACCATATGAGACCCTGAGGCAGAGTCGTGGTCCCAGCTTCTTTTTTTTCTCCCCTCTGCTCTGCGCTCACTCTGCATGCTGTTACCAGAGCAGGGAGCAGCAGTGGTCAAAATACCTCAGAAACTCGAACAAATAGGCTTTAACAAGGCTTTAATAAGCTAAACAATAGAGGTACATGAGAAAACGTGTTCATAACAAACGAAAAATAAATAAATAATTAAATTGTGTCCAAGCTCGTCTCGAACCCTGGGCTCCCGCTCTCTGGTCCAACACTCTACCCATTGCCCTATTGGAGGCTTGTTGTGAAATGAGCTGCGCATTGCACAACAACAACCGTAACGGCGTTTTATACTGAAGAGGTGGAGTCTCACCCGGGGGGTTGCTAGGTAAGGGGCTGAACGCAGGTTCCGGTGGGTTGTCGTACGGCTTGTGACATCATAAAATGACGGAAATATAAAACTTGTCGTTACTACACATTAAAAATACATTTACTTACAGTAAATATGCCCCTGGGTGCATTTTTTTGGTCCTAGGACTGTTTTTTTAAGAAGTACATACCCAAAGTTGAGTAAAAAAACCTTTAAAAAGTGAATTTTGCATAATCTCCTTTAAATACTTTTATTAGAATATGCAGTGTTCAAAGTGTCCTTTGATTCCAACTAATTAATAGTTAATGCTTTTTGTTATCACATAAAGCTGGAATACTTTTCTTTCTACTGAGCAGTAGATACACATTTCAGAGAAAATTCAATATTGCTTCACCTAACAAAATAACTTCATCTCGCTGTGTGTCCTGAAACAAAAAGCTAAAACTGTTTAAAGAAAACCACACAGCCGCACTGTGTACTTCACAAATAACAGACACTACAGTTGAAACCACCTGGAAAGTCCGGTGCAGTCTGAGCCAGGACAACAGAACTGTAACTGTGTTAGTCATACTGTCAGAGTGGAATCTTCAGGCTTAAAACCAAAGCAGCTTAACAGCTTTATCAATAGCTACCTTCATGTTTAACAGCCTGCAGCTGTGTCTGAAATGTTCCTGCACAAGAACTTTAATTTGCACGAAATAAATCAACAAATCAGTTCAGACAAATAGAATGACAGACAAGTTTTTCTTTAAACTGAGCTCAACTTCTATTTTGGTCGCAACTTCAGGTTTTTTCTTCTTGAGGATGGTAAATCAAAAGAAATTGTCATGCACAAAAACTTGACAACTTTTATTTTTATTATTAACTGCAGCAGTTATTGATTCGGTTTCAGTGCTGTTGAAATAGATCAACATCCACCTAGCCATAGATAGACAAGATGGGTTGACAGACAGCCTTATAGTTTTGTCTACTCATTTGCTGAGGAATAATGTATTTAAAAAGAAAAGAACATGCGTACTACAGCTTTTAAAAATAAGTAATAAGCCTAATTGTTCTGTTTTAACTAACAAACAAAACTACATGCAATAAAAATGAAAATCAACACTTACAATCTGTTCTGGGAGCTGCTGTCTTGTGAGTTGTCACTCATTGTCACATCCCCGTCTCCATCATCCAGCCTGGCTCGTGGTCCAGGACCTCCAAACCCGCCCGACTGGTTCCCTCGCCGGCGGTCTCTGCGGGGCCTGTCAAATGCCCGACCCTTGTGAGAGCCTCTGCCTTTGCGGTTGCGAAACGGTAAGGTTCTGTCATCATGCTCTGTGCAGAGAAACAGACTTTTTAAAAAGTTGAAACAAGCTGTTTATTTTATACCATTTTCTCTCTCTATGGAAGAAACACAAAAGATTGTTCACCAAAAAAAAGGATCAGCATTTTGTTTATTAAATTCCACCTTCATCCTAGACATCTTTAGTGTTGGACAAACTTTTCAAAAGTTATTCAAACCTTATAGTGTGGCAGGGCCTTTAGCAGCAGAAATAACAAGAACACAGACAGCTCACAAAAACAAACAATAGACAATCTTCTGTAAACAAGATGGGTGGGTTCTGTATCAGTAACTAAACAAAAAATAAATGTAGCAACTAAAATGCTCAACTCGATAAATACTGTATATATGAACCAAAACGCAACATTTGAACAAGTGATGAATAGAAATTGAATCAATCAAGAAAGAGGACGATGTAATGTTTTAGGGGGAAAGAGGAGTTTCTCTGTGGGAAAAATGGTGAAAAGTTGCTGTAAAGTACTGCACATCTCACATAAAAATATCCAGAGAAAAAATATTTCACAGGGAGAAATGTTTAGAGACCAGACAGGCATGTCATTCTGCCCTCTGCAGACCCCCAGGTTGGGGAGGGGGGGACATCAACCTCACCTGTTGACAAAATCTGGTTGTCCGCAAAACATTTTGGTTGTCCAAAAAGATATAAAAATGTAATTTAATAAGTAGGTTATATTGTTAAGCAGTCAGGTTGACAGTTTCAGGAGCTGCTCGAGTAAAACCTCCTCCTCCTCCTCATTCTCTTCTATGAAATAGACCAAAAATCAACATCCAATATCCATAGCTTTCTGCTTACAGTTCAAACATTTTCATTTAAATAGGAGTATTCTGTCTACTTGACCTTATTAAAAGTCACAGTTTAGTGTTCTTAGGACTGAAGACAGAGAGATTTTTAAACAGCTCTTCTATCATTTTAGTGTTTTCAACTGAGGAGCTTTGATATATTTATTTTAAAAATATATATAGCAGAGGAAGTTCTCTGCACAGAAAAAAATAATTTACTTTTAATGTTTGTTTTTTTAGCCAAACTGACAAGTTTCTCCACTAAAATTATTGTGTAATTTAAAGGCACTGAAACACCTGGTTAAATTTAGAAGATATTTCTGATTGATATTTATGACAAGCACCTGAAGCTGACTCGGAGAACTGTGATTTTAAAGTCAAAAGTAGACATGGCCCCCCAATTATCATACCATTAACATACCTCTGGTGTGATAAAAAGTTGTCCCGTTGACATAATTTAAAAACTGATGTATAGTTTCAAGTCTCTACTTTTGAAACTATTTGTAAGAGGTTGTCTTTCCAGACAGAGTGATTGAAAACAGTCATATGAATCAATCCTGTGACATTCTAGTGTTGTCATCATGCATCAAGTTGTAATGTCTCCTCATGTTTATGCAACATTCCTAAACATCTGACTAAATGTGATACACAGAAAATATTTTACATTACAAGCTAAAAACTGCTTCTGAACAGCACTATTTCCCCCCCACAAAAAAATAGGTTGATGACTAGGGCTGCCACGACTAATCGATTAAAATAATCGATGACTAATTTAATAATCGATTAATCCTTTTCTTTTTTTGTTGTTGTTCTTTACTTTGTTTTTCTCTCCAAACTGCTTTGACACCTTCCACTGCCACATCTGCCTTTCTGTCCTTGACACACATGCACAGTAGTGGTAACTGGGGTAGGCCGTGGACGTCACAAGACATTATACAGACAGGCTCTGGTATCATGGCTACCCAGCAACGGAGCTCAAAAGTGTGGGATCATTTTAAGAATATGAAAGAGAAACCTGTACAATATCTGCAGAGCAGAACTTGCCTTCCACAAAAATTATTTTTAGTTAGCATATAGCTAAAATCTAACGATGGTTATATAATAGCAGCTGCATTCTGACGTGATAAGCTGTATGTTTTATATTCAATTAACATATGATCCGATTAGTCGACTAATCGAATAAATAATTGGTGATTAATCGATTATTAAAATAATCGTTTGTGGCAGCCCTATTGATGACATAACACTGACTTGAAGAATATTTATAAGCTTATCCTAATATGGAAATAAAAGAAAAACCAATACTTTTCCAGTCTGTATAACCCTGCACGCAGATATTTGTTTCTCCAATAATATTATCTCCTACAGCATAAACGTTAAAATAAGTTCTTCAGGTTTCGACTTATATTTAGAGCACATATTTTTAAAGGCCCTCCACATGTCGACGTGCTGCTCCTCATAGAACTCCTCTCTGCCCGGTCTATTTTTGCACTATACACAACATTTACTATACTAGTATTTAAATATTGACATAAAACTTGTCAGCTTTAATAAAACACTGATTTTAACAAACTATTATAAAAAAATATATACCAATCAGACGTCCTGTGTGAGCCGAGGACTACTTGTTACCTGTTTGGACCAGGAAACCTTCGTGTGTGACCTCTCTCTTCACCATAAACTCTTCACAGTCTGAAGATAAATGGTAACAACAACAAAGGAGATAAAAGGTTAGCTTTAAACGGAACAGGTTTCTTACCATTGTAGTAGTGCCCGCCGTCCGCCATGTTCAGTGTGAAGGTGAAAAAAGGAAAACAGCCCTGGCGTGAGAAATACTACGCGGACTTCTTTTGTCCTTCACATAAACATTTGCGACACTCAAAACAACTCAAGACGTGCCAATCGGTTCTAGGTAAAAAGAACAAAACAAAGTGAGCTACGTAAGCACTGGTGGTCACGTCTTTCGCTAGCCGATAGCTTAGCTTAGTTAGCTAGCTTCTGCTAACAAGCGAGGAGACACGACGACGGAAGTAAACCTTACCGACGTTTTTACTTCCGGTTTAAAAATGCACTGGGTATTTAAAATTAATTTTATTTACAATAAAATAAGCAAAAGATAAATTTACAAACATTTGTTTGCCATATTTACTTCGAAAAGCTGTAGGATCGCTTTCATTATAATTAGTCTATAATAAACCATTCTTAGTACTGTGCTAAAATAATTTCTAATACTTTTTGTTTATATTTGTAATTTTTCTTTTTAATATTTCTTTGCTCTGACTTGAGTTAAATTCTTCCTCTGCACATCTTCATGTCATATATTTACATATGGTAAAAAACACATCAGTTTTAATCCTACAGTTTGCCATTAAACTAAAATACTGCAACAACCTGAACAAAAGATTTTGTAAAGCCCATTCACAAATTACAGCAGAGACTTTTTAATACTTGCTTAAACTGGAGCAGGTTGGAAAAGTACTCTACAAATGTCTCAGTAAATTATTTTAATCCTCTTGGTAGAAATTATGGCGTGTCAAGTGGAAAATTAACACATTTGGTGGATTTTTGTGAATCCTCCCTAAGTCTCATTAGTTTGTACTTTTTCTCCATTCCTACAAGCCTTTGTTAGATATTATCTTTGTTATCTATGCTTTAATTGTGGTGTGATTCCTAATGAAGTTTGCTACATACATTAGGGCTGCTCAATTATTACAAAAATTATAATTACAATTTTTTTGATTGAAATTGAGATCTAGATTATTTAACAAAAAGATTCATTGACTTTTATAACATGAGTCTATTGAACATAGACAATGGATGTTAAACAATGTTTCCCTAAGGATTTCAAATATTTTTGAAAGAATTAGACAAAATGAAACTTTGGCTGTGGAAGGGACCTGCAGAATCGTGCTGGCTGTGGCATTGGATTCACAACACAAAACAGTGCACGCGTAAACTGCAAACTTCGATCATTATGTTTTTATGATCATTGAAAACCCAAATCGTAATCAAGATCAAAATCTGATTAATTGCCCAGCCATAAAATACATATGCTGAAACTTAATTGTATTTAATTGAGATTTTGGACTTTACCTTTGCTCATTTAATTATGAATCTCTTGGGATGAATTGGTTGTTTTGTTTTATTTCATCTTTTTACATTTGCATGTTGTATTTTTTACATGTACTTTTATTTAGGTAGGTAATTTCATTGAGACATGTAATCTCATTTACAAGAGAGACCTGTGACTCATAGTTACACAAAAATCATAAAACATAATTTAAATGAAAACAGAGTTAAACAACTTAAGAACAAGAGCAGATTTTAATTAAGATGTGCTTAAATGAAAGTAGACCAATTTCTCACTGCCATTGATTTGACATGTAATATATGTTCTGTCAATCCTGTCATTAATACATTTCTTTTGATTTTTCTTGCCACTAGAGGCCAAATTATCTTCTCCGTAATTATGTTAATGGTAGTGTCTGAGGTGGAGCAGGATTAAAATGATGTCAGACAGTGTGCAGTTTAATTCTCCAAAACCAAATTATCTAACTTTCTTAAAGAAACCTATATTTGTCCATATGTTGAATATATCTTAATGCTTGTGGTTGACTTGATGGACAGCATATGCTGTTGTAGCATAGAAGCCAACTCCCCGACCTCTTTTACATATAAATATATATTTGAACAAATCTATACATAGTTAAGACGTATGTTTTCATAACAATCAACCGAATAAACAATTAATTAATAAATTAAATTAATAAAAATATGCTAGGAGTCGATGATTACCGTGTTTGGTTTGGTTTTTACTCCACTTACCATTGCTAACAACACGTGTCACCACGGATAAGTTCGGGTAGATTCTCCGAAACATAGTTACACGGTCCATCACCTACAAACAAGTCTCAGCCTTTAAAACAAGTCCGGTCTCGCTGTAAAATGGACAAAAACAATATAATGGACACATTGTCGTACTGGTCTAAAAATAATGAAGCTAAGCTAACTTTCCCCTCCTTCATTTTACCTGCGTTTGATGAGCGGTTGAGATTACCAGCTAACTAGATAACTAGGCTTGGACGTTAGCGCGGTGGCTATCATCATGCTGAACCCCTGGATGAAATTCGATAGTTTTGTTATTGACTAAAATATTCAGGGAAAAAATATTTAAAGCAATGTTGAAAATACTCCTACAGACTGTAGGAGTTGTTCGTGTCTCTCAGTTTGAACCGCGCGCTCATTGATTCTCCTGCAGGAACAACGGCGCCACCAGGTGGTAACGCCTGGGTGAGATCCGCAGGTGTTGCGTCAAATTCTGTAACCAGGACAGTCCCGGCTGCGGACTCCAGGGCGGGGTAATTGACACGCAATAAAACTTCCCCTATTTTTTTTTAAATAATAAAAAAATAATTGTGTGTGTGTGTGTGTGTG